ACCTCATTCGCCATCAGAGCTCACATGGAAATGCTCGTTAATTGTTAACTCCCAAAAAGGCAGCTTGGCTCGCAAAAAAGTACACGGCCTCTTACTACTCTGGATAATAAGCTGCTCACCAATTCAGAATATCACCACCAACATGAACTGGTTTACAAGCCTCGCTGCCATGGTGCTTCCTTCCCGGTGCTGGCAACAATAGTTTTAAAGAAACTGCCTGTTAGATTTTGTAGCAACTGCTCATTTGTTCATAAAAGTCACAGATGAATATCAGCAATACAAGAATTCAGAGAAGGCGGCCCACACATTTTCATCAAAAGATAAGAAAATAGAATCCCTCCCTTGACAGGTATGGGTTCTTCCTAGTACAGTAAAAATGGACTACCATGGCCACTGGGAAAGATTCTGAATTTGAAAACCTTTCCTTGGTGTTAAGGTTGGAAAGCAAACGAATAAGAATGAAATTTCAACAACAAAAAAGAATGGGTTCCCAAACTACTTTTTCCTGTTATAACCCATCCCCAAAGATAGAAGAGACACTGGCAGCCTTGGGAATGGGGAGCATGCCCCCCTCTTCTTTCCTCCAGGTGAGGAGTGTCACTCCCAAGCCACTCCAGGGCTACCACACGCTGCCTCCCTCCACTCATGCAGCTGTCTCCAATCCCTCACACCTATCCATCTCCAAACCTATTCATGCCATCACCTCCTTGGCTGCGCCTCACAGACAGAACTCCTTCCACATCTCCCAGTCGAATCCCACACTTGGTCATTGTCTTTCTGCCAAGGATTCTTCTCTCCCCTGCAACTTTAATATCTCCCTTCCCACTAGAGATACCAAAGTGCTCCACCCAGGGGCTTACTAGTCACATCTCCAGAGTAGCCACAGAAGGCATTTGAGTGTGTGAATCTCAAATTCACACCTTATCATTTACACATTTGAATTTAACACAATTTCTTTGTCATTCAAAAGTATCTATTAGAAAACACTGTGTATAGTTGGTACTGGTAAAGAAAATGGGTAGAAATATGATTTTAAGACATTTCCCCCTGTCCCTTCTATACACTGACATTCTGAGAGAGAGGAAGATAAAGAAAATCATCTCTAACAACTGTGTGAAATGTTTCTTGATAAGGGGACAAAGAAGTCCCCTTCTGCTTAAGAATGTCTGGAAGAGGCTGCATACCTAAACTGCAGTTTTTACACTGCCCATCTCCCCTCACTCCCAATTCACTGTGCCCCTCAATCCTGGAGAACCACTAAGTCACATCACTCTGCCACTAACAACTCTGGAACAGGTCTCCACTGACACATCAAGGCAGAGGAGTCTGATGGGCACTGAGGCTCCGAGAGAGTCCAGCCTGCCTTTGCACACAGGTCTTGTGCATGTGGGTACATCAGCTCCAGTCAAATGGAGACTCCATGCAGTACATTCCAAACAGCCTGGAATTTCCTGCTTCTGCATTTGCTTGTGTCACCCCAGTTGCCAAACCCCAAATATGGTTATTCAGGGCACAAACCAAGTGGCGGTAGGTGGCAGGGCTGTCTATCCCCACCAAGACACTGTTCAGGGCACAAACCGAGTGGCGGTAGGTGGCAGGGCTGTCTATCCCCACCAAGACACTGTTCAGGGCACAAACCGAGTGGCGGTAGGTGGCAGGGCTGTCTATCCCCACCAAGACACTGTTCAGGGCACAAACCGAGTGGCGGTAGGTGGCAGGGCTGTCTATCCCCACCAAGACACTGTTCAGGGCACAAACCGAGTGGCGGTAGGTGGCAGGGCTGTCTATCCCCACCAAGACACTGTTCAGGGCACAAACTGCAAACCGAGTGGTGGTAGGTGGCAGGGCTGTCTATCCCCATCAAGAGACTTCCCATTTTAGGGTGACAGGTGGTTTTTACAAAGTATTTTCAAATTTTCCACAACGAACAGGTATTATATTTCTAAAAAATGGTGGGAAAAATTGCACATGGGTAAAAGAATCCATTCAACTCTTCAGAATCACCCACTGTGAAGGCTTTTTTTTTTCTTTTCTGAGAAGACGACTCTGTTAGTCAACAAAAAGCAATCTGTGCTCTTCCTTATTCTTAAGACCGTGGACTGTTTTATGACTTCAGACACATATCTTCCTGTCCTGTATCCACATACAACTTTTCTCTCTCTCATTCCTATTATGAGTCAGGAACGCAGGAGGAGCTTTGGCCATGTTGTTTCATTTAACCATCACAGGGAACCTGTGAGGCTGCTACTCCCATTCCCGCATGATGACAAGGGAAGCCAAGGCTGGAAACCTTGCTCACAGCAAAGAACAAACCTATGGTTCTTGCGAGTTTAAATTTAAATCCAGTCTAGTCTGGCTTCAAAATCCTAACTTCAAAATACTTGGCAACTGACTAACTGCCTTTCCAATACTAGCCTCTGAAAGCCTTAAGCTGGAAGACAATGTCTTACTCATCTTTGTACTCACTCTGTGCCTACCCCAGGGCCTCATCCAGAAGCATAAACTCAAAGAACTTCCTTATGATTACATAAAAGCTTTATTCCTTGGGAAAAGTGGTGGGATGTTGATTATGATAGTATGACTTAAAATAACTGCTGTCCTGACAGTAAGCTCTGTAGGTTCTAACTTTAAAATGTATCTCAACATCAACAAATCATCAAACAACAAGTGTTGGCGAGGGTGTGGAGAAAAGGGGACTCTAATACACTGCTGGTGGGAATGCAGACTGGTGCAGCTGCTATGGAAAACAATATGGTGCTACCTCAAAAAATTAAAAATTGAACTTCCATTTGACCCAGTGATCCCACTGCTGGGAATATACCCTAAGAAGCCTGAAACACCAATCAGGAAGAATATATGTACCCCCATGTTCATAGCAGCACTATTTACAATAGCTAAGATCTGGAAACAGCCCAAGTGTCCACCAGTAGACGAATGGATAAAAAAGCTGTGGTACATATACACAATGGAGTACTATGCAGCGGTAAGAAAGAAAGATCTCTTATCCTTTGAGACGACATGGAGGGACCTGGAAAGTATTATCCTAAGTGAAAGAAGCCAAGCAGAAAAAGACAAATACCACATGATCTCACTTATATACGGAATATAATGAACATAACAGTCTGAGGAATACAGTAGACCCAGACACATGGAAGTAGGGCACAGACTGATATCCCTCAGAAGAGGGGATGGGGGGTGGGGGGGGTGGGAAGAGATAAACCACAGAACTTATATGCATGTATGCATGACCAATGGACATGGACAACTAAGCCGGGGACAGGGTGGAGGTGGGGTGGGGTGGGGGGTGCCAATGGGGTAAAAAGGTAAAATATCTGTAACAAAAAAATACTCACTGTGAATTCTCTAATAAAATGCTAAGTACTACGTTAAAAAAATAAATAAATAAATAAAATAAAATAAAATAGAACTTAAAAAAAAATAAAATAAATAAAATAAAATGTATCTCAAGCCCTGGCTGGTCTTGCTCAGTGGTTAGAGCATTGGCCTGAGGACTGAAGGGTTGCAGGTTCTATCCCCAGCCCCGGTCGGGGTCATGCAGGAGGCAACCAACTGATGTTTCTCTCTCTCTCTCTCTCTCTCTCTCTCTCTCTTTCTCTCTCTCTCTCTTTCCTTCCTCCCTCCTTTTCACTCTATCTAAAAATCAGTGGAAAAATATCCTCACACACACAAAAGCTATAATTAAAAAAAAAAAGTGCCTCAAAACCATGCCATCTCCCCAGCTCTACGCCCACCTAAGCCTTAGTCTACTGTCGTCTCCTGTTTCTAACTCCTCTCTGCTTCCACCCCTCTTCCACAATGTCACTGAGGCAGGCCTGTTTTACTCCCTTACACAAAACCTCCAACAGCCCACAAGGTGCTTCTTACTCTGGCCTAGAAGGCTGTGTGTGACCAGGGTCCCTGCCTATGAGGCCAGACTTCTCTAGTCTCCACTTCCTTCCACGAACCATCTCTAGGCACACTGGCCTTCTTCAGTCTGTGCACCGGCTCTTCCCTCTGTATCGAATGCTCTTATTCCAGGTGGTTGTATGGGTGGTTCCCTTTTCATCACTTAGGGCTCAGGTCACCAGGGTCACCTCCTCAGAGGCTTTGTTTAAACACTATCTACAGAAGAACCCCACTGGTATTCTGTCTCAAGTCTGCATTTGGGGGAGTGATAAAAATGAGGAAACAACCTGGAGCTATTTTTTAAATGTTTCTAGTTAGTTTGGCCCCTTTCTCCAGCTAGATTTTAAACTCCATGGAGGTAGAGATCATACTAGAAGGTGGGTATTCAAATACTTCTGAGTTTTTAGTGATCCAAACTGAGTATGAAACTATGCTTTATGATCAGAATTTTATTTTGAACATGTTAGGTGGCATTATGGCAATGCAAAAGAACCTTAATTTGGATCCTTCCATGACTCAACACCCAGATAACAGGCTTGGAGACTGAAGCTCAGGGATGGCTCAGGGGTTCATGAAACCTGAAGTCACAATGCGTCATTCTAAGTACATATGCAATTTTGATAGGGAAGATGTCATAACTTCAACTCATTCACAAATTAGAACATGACATCAAGATAGACTTAGAACTACTGAACTTGAAGTTTCAAAATCACATTTCCTTTAGAGGAAAAAAAAAAAAAAAAAAAGCCATGTCTCCATATTGGCTGTGTATTTATCATTTTACCATCCACTAAATTCCCAACCTCAGGCTCTAGAAGGAAACAAACTTTTTTCTATACTGATGCAATATTTCAAAAGAGATTTTATAAAATACATTTTCTCCCTGTCTGATTTCAATAAAAATCAGAAAATGCACACCACTTTCAATATAATACCCAACATCTGACAGGCATTAGCCCATTCAAGGAATTAGAAAGCCTACTTCCAGCAGGGAAAGGGGTATTATATCCTACCTGGGCTGTCACTGGCCTTCAGTTTAATCCTGCTTTACCTTTTACCCTCTAATAATGATTTTTAAATGATTAAGCACTTACCATAATGTGACTGAAATGCCTGCGGTTTGACAACCTGATTACAATCGTTACACACCACCAAGTAGAAATCATCGTGGGCTGGACAGAGACCAAATATTGGCATGTCTGCAACAAAGAAAAAGAGCATCACTCACTCAACCTGATTCTGATCAATAGGAAACCATCTGGGGTGGCAATACTTTCTAAAGGAGCTGCCTTAAGATAAAGTGCACCAGGACAAATGTCACTCCAGTTTAAGAGTAACTGATGTGGCACACCAGGACTATTAAGAGAGAAATCAAATCAGGCTTACAGAAACACTGTTACCAAGGGTTAAAATAAAATGCGCCCAATATCATCAGTATGAGGTAAAAAACGAACAGATCTATTGAAATGCAGACAATGAATACATTTGTACAATAAAGCAACTTTACTTTTTTTTTTTTCTCCTCACCTGAGGATATTTTTCCATTTTTTGTACAGATAGAGTGGGAGGGAGAGAGAGGAAGGGAGAGAGAGAGAGAGAAACATCGATGTGAAGGGACACATCGAGTGGCTGCCACCCGCACGACCGACCAGGGCCGGGGACAAACTGCAACCAGAGTACGCGCCCTTAGCGGGAACCGAACCCGGGTCTCTCCGGACCGCAGGCCAACGCTCTAACCGCTGAGCCAAACTGGCCAGGGCCAATAAAGCAACTTTAAATGAACTCTACCAAGAGTTATGGGGAAGAATTTGCAACCATATAAAATGCTTAACAACTCACAAAGCTGTAATGTCTAGTGGTTTTATTTAACTACGCATTCTATTCTAGCCATCTGGTCTCTGAGTTCTATGCAAAGTTAAGAAAGGAAGCAGAGGTTTCACTGAAGAGTAAAATTGCTGGTTTCATCAGGGTGCAATACAAAAAAAAAAATTACTTTTATACTTTTTTTTCAGGTCACAAATACCTCTAGTCCTTTGCTTACATACTGATGCGACTAGACTATTAAGAGAGAAATCAAATCAGGCTTACAGACGAGACAGATGGAACTTCAGTACAAACACAGCATTTAATACATTAATCTCAGTTCAGTTACTAAAATACGGTAAGATACAAGTTGGAGTTTTTACAGTAAGAAGTTTAAATTTAATTAAGACAAATGTAAAACTCAATTATCTTCATATACATAAAAAGTGAGAAACTTAATACTGGTAATATACAGGGGTGGGCAAAAGTAGGTTTACGGTTATTTGTATGGAAAATAATACAATAATTAATGAATAGTAATAACAAGAATAAACTGTTCCATGAACTCACAATTATAAGCCTACTTTTGTCAATCCCTGTATGGTTAACTAGCCATGAACAATTAATTAACAACAATCTAGGGAACAAGGCTAACACTTCAGACACAGAATCTAAATTTTTTTAATATTACAAAATTGATGTCATATTGAAAATATGATATATTAGTATTATAAAATTGATACAAGATTTAATTTCACACTTTCTCCAGCTTGAGTGATCTTGGTGGTGTTAAAGGGAAAAGAAAATGTCCTGAGGAGATGTAAAGTGATGGTAATCTCTATCATAAATTACTAATCTAATGTCTACACATGGCTATAGCTCAGATTTTCTTAAAAACCTATCACTCTGAACTGCACAGAGAGCTAGCTATGAATCTGAAATATACCAGGAACCAACATGATTCTGAGATGCAGCTGCAGCACTGAGCAGTTTCTCTGTGCTACCTTCTCATTCTATCCTCAAAACTGCATAGGTAGATACCATTATAAGTCTACTTAAAAGAGAAGGAAACTGATTCACAGAGAGGTGAAGTACTTGAAGTGCAGAGCTGGGATTCGATTCCATCCCATTGCAATGGCTTGGTTTTGGTCCCTTGAAAAGCAGAGGAATATGATTTCTAGAAATTCCTTCCAGATTCCAACTCCAATAATTTGGAATGTCAGGGCTGGCTGAACACCTTTGATGTATAAACTGATTAGATAACATAAGTCTAGTAGACTGTTGAATTCTGTGAATAAGCTTAATAATTTAATGAAAAATAAGAGCCATATAATGTGCTATTTTCCTTGAAAGCATGCCCACATTGAATTAAAAATAGAACATGTGGCAGAAGAGGAAAGGTTATATTCATGCAATGATCAACATGTAATAAGCCATTTTCCATGGCTATAGTTTCTTAACATGACATTTCACTTTTAAAAATAAAAATTCAAAGTCGTTTTACCTTAAGTTTTATATACCCCTGTGCAAAATGCCTCTGATACAGGACAAATAAGAAGGAAAATATGAATTAGAGAAGTGAATCAATATTCAGAATTTATAGCTGGAAAGTATGAAATGTCTATAAATAACACTAGTTTCATTAATGATATTAACTCAGTTTTACTAATTAAGTAGTAGAAAAAACAGCATTAAATCATGTAGTCTCAGTTTTTTGTTTTATATTTTTAAAATTGATTTTAGAGAGAGGAAGGGAGAAGGAGAGAGAGAAACATCGATGTGAGAAACACTGATGGCTGCCTCCTGCATGCTCCTTATCCTGGGGAATCTAGCCAGAAACCCAGGCATGTGCCCTAAGCAGGAATTGAACCGGCAACCTTTTGGTGCACTGGATGATACTCAACCAATGGAGCCACACCAGCCAGGGCTGTCGTCCCAGTTTAGATTTAGGCCTCTGTGAAGTGCTGGTTTGCATGGTTCCCCACAGAACTCAGTATCAAAAGATGCTGTTTAAAATATATCACTCTGCCAAATACCAGATACTTTTGGGGATTAGCACCCCCCCTCCCCCCACCGCCCTTTATAAATAAGGCAGTTTTTAAAAATAATAAACTGCACCATACCTTTCAAGTAATAGGAATTCAACTGGCTACAATGATGACTGTGTAGAAAACTGTTCTTTTTTGCTCTGATTCCACTGATCCTTTTGTTAGACTCAGACACACTAATAAAATAAGAGGGTAGGGTCATTCTGTAAGGGACCAGGAAAATATAATTCTGTAAGAAGTTCAAGTTTTGCAATAACTTAAGATCATTTGCAACTGATGATGAAAGTAATGATGATAACCACAATGGTAATGAGACAGGCTAGAAAGCCAGCACAAGTGGAATAGGAAAACTGAGACAGACAAACAGCAGTTTGCAGCCACCTAGTAAATCCTATCTTCCCTAAGCAAAGCACACTTAAGAGCAAATGGTTTGTACTTCTCCCCAACCAGAGGGTAAATAGCTTAAATCACCCTACTCAGGGAGACAGATAGCACAACTCTTATTAGTGCTATTTGCCAACCACACCCAAGGACAGACGAAGTTAAGAGAATACATTTCATTTTGGTACATCAGCATAAAGCTGATGAATATTCTATAGAGATACTCCCCTAAACACTTAGCCTTTAATACCCTCAAAAGGAAGGTCCCGTGTTCTCCCTCCCAGAAGCAGGCCTGTACCTTTCCTCCCCCCTCCCCATCTCCTTCTCCCACAGACAAGCTTCTCCTAAACTCTAGGGACCACGAGAGGCTTGCAACCAGGGTAGCAACAGATGGGCAGGGGCAGTTCATCCTTAGCAAACCCCCTGAACTTGTCCCCGAGGCTCCTTTCTCTGACACTTTAGTGAGCCAGCAGCCCAGCCCGAGCTCATTTCCCACCTAGCCCTGTCCTGATGTCCTAGGCCCTTCATTGTTTCACTGTCCCCAGCTTTAATAAACGTCTTCTAAAGTACACCTAGACTTGTGTTGTGCAAATACCCCTGTATGAGTCAAGAATCCATGCACTACAGGTCAGCCCTAGGCAGACTAACTCAGGGTCAGGTCCCTGTCCAGTAGCCGTAAAACAGTGGCATTTACCGAGAGACTATTTTTCCAGGTCCTGTGCTAACCACTTTTTATATGTTTTATCCTAGAACATAATCCTCATTTTACTGATAGACATGTGAACTTGTCTAATACCACCCAGCAAGAAAGTATAAGCAGGATGCAAATTGAGGTTTGCACAACCTGTGAGCTCAATTCTCTTTTTTTTCTTTCTTTTCTTTATGGATTTTTAGTGAGAGAGGAAGGGAGAGGGAGAGGGAGAGAGAGAAACATCGAAAAGAGAAAAAATCGAATGGCCACCTCCTGCATGCCTCCCACTGGGGATTGGGCCCACAACCTAGGCATGTACCCTGACCTCTTGGTGCATGGGTGCTCAACCACTGAACCACACTGGCAGGGCCAAGCTTAATTCTTAATTTCTGACTAGCACACCTCATTACACTAAAAAGCCTGTATGTGTGCACACATGCACACACTGAGAATCCATGTGGGAATAAATATGGTGTACTGCTATCTTGTTCATGCTACCCTATGAAATCAAGCTCCAGCTATGAAAACCTACAGCAACTTTAATTTTAGCTTTCTAAATACTTTCAGATATCCATATTTGGAAGTAGGCTAGAAGATACAAAATAATTTAAATAAAATGTCTTCAGGAAAAAAAAAAAAAAGTTCTATATTTTTTTTCTGCACTAGGACATTCCACAGGCCTTAGCAACAGAAACAGAGCATGGAATGTTGTGACAACAGAGAAAATGAAATAATTTTTGTGAGAGAAGTATGTATGTTTCTGAGTATTTTTAATTAAAAAAAATGTTTATTTATTGATTTTAGAGAGAGACACACAGAGAGAAACATGGACCTGCTGTTCTACCTCTCTATGCACCCACTGGTTGATTCCTGTATGTGTCCTGACTAGGGATCAAACCTGTAACCCCGACACATTGGGACAATGCTCCAACCAACTGAGCTACCCAACCAGCACTGTTTCTGAATATTTTTAAAGCGTAAATTCACAATCATCCCAGCTATAAATTAACATATGGACCTTACTCAAATGCAAGGAGGGAGAAAGCTTGATTTATTACTGAAAACAAAATAGAGTTGATAAAAATAAGTTCCTACTGTTAATAAAGCTGCAAATAAATAATTTAAACCATTATATACTTCAAAAGAATGAAAAGTTTTAAAATTGTACTTGACCCTATGGACTCTGAACTAATTTGAAAGAATAGATTTTATTATGTGTAAGCCCTAAATCTTTCTCAGGATTCAGGTCACCCAGACCTTCCTATTAGTAAGTGGC